TATGTTCTACTTCGTCAATAAGTGTGCGTAGGTAATCGAAGCAAGGTGTAAATTATGCGCCTGATACGTATCTCAACCACGACAGTTCGGCAGTCTCTAACGTCTAGCCCCACCCCGCGACCTGGGCGGAACACGCATAAATTGCGCGTGAATTGGTTTATAATGATAGTGGACTTTCGTAGCGTCTACCTCACCCACTTACCCATCTCTTATCCACTTGCCTCCGTTGGCAAGATCGTCTGCAAGACTGGAGGTCAGTTCTGGTGCAGTGGCCAGAAACACACACACACTGTTGAGTTCCCGCAGCGTTTACCGGACGTTCAATGGGTAAAGTAGAGACCGTATTAAAAAAAAGAAGAAATTGCAGTCTGAATCACCGTCCTGAGCGGGACTGAGTTATTCCCTACAAGCTGTGACTCCTGTCATCTCGGGAAGATTTTTAGCGTGTCATTTTTATTGTAGTTGATAAATCGATGACCTACCGTAAGGATGGATTCCTTTAGTATCAGCCTCATTCTTGCCTTGTGCATCGGTTGAAAAGAGGCTCTCTTGCAACAGCTTCAGTGCACTGTATTACCGATTAGTTGAGTCTCGGACTAGTTGGCGACGCAGGAGAGAGTACGGTAGACGATTCACAGGTCACTGGTACATACTGCAGGGCGCATAATGGACGTTATCGTTTGCGACATTAGAACCGTCTATTAGGTGTCTGTTCTAAAATTTGGAGTTTTCTTCGGCTGGTTAGTCTTTGCGGACGAAAAAAAGAATATTGAACGATTGTTAGGGTAAACTGAAGGGTACAGTTACCAATTTACAGACAGTCGTATTAAATGTCTAGCTGCTGGTGAAGATATTACATTTTGACTCCACTTTTTCCTGCCTTTCCCACGAGACCCCGGTAAAGTGTGCAATAAACAACAGGCAGCCCTGGCAAAACAACCTTTCTGTTAACAGGGTAGCCAGTGGGCTTCCTGCACGCCAGTAAAATCTACTTCACCCGTTTTGGACTGGGACCAGCTGTATCATGTCATGTGCGGACGAGAGCCCTATTTCAAGAGAGCTAGTGCACGCAAACCTGCCTATATTTGTCTATTCGTTAAAATATTCTGGGTAGAGTCTGTTAATCCCGCACCTCCCTCCCCCTCACGGACGAGGCATTGCTGCTCCTCATTTCAGTGGTGATCTTCCTCCTCCCTCGAAGGCATGAATGTCAGTCAAGTGAAGCAGCAAAGGCACTAGGATATGCAACAATATGCAAAACTGCAAACCACTTTGCCGCGATATAAGACACAGACGTTTGCGTCCTATCTTTAAGCCGAAGGCAGCGGAATTGATGGTACGCACGTATTCTGCGGTACCGATAGTTTTCCCACCA